CATTGCCATTATTCATATACACTATAAAAACCTGTATTTCTTCATGCTCAGTGTACATTGTTCTTTCTTTTTACCACTCTGGCCTAATACAAATCTAAACAAGCTACTTACAGACACTTCACACACTTTACAGATTATCTGCCACATGCTGGTCCATTTTCCAAGCCACAAGATTTTAAAAAAAACCAGCTTGCCATACATAAAAATTATTTCCATAAATTTTTTCTTACAGAATGTAGAAGCTCATAATTTTAAAGCTTTAAAATAAAATTTTCTGGGGACAATAATAAACTCAAACCATGTTAAATCAGAGAGGCAGCCTGTGACTGGATATTTCAGCAGTTGCCCTTGCAAGAGGTTAGAGTTCTACAACCTCAAAATTTTAATGCGATAAGTTTTTTAACCTTGAGTTACTAACAGCACTACAAGACCATAATTACTGAGACACAGAAATAAAAAATACTCCTGTTTTCCCTTTCTTTTTTTTTTTTTCACTTTGCATATTTGCACTTTGCACTTTTACTTCAGTAAGCCAAGGAATATAGTCCAAGTACTTAAAATAGCTCTTTCCAGACATGGTAAAATCTGCTTTCTTTTCTGGACACATAATGCTTTTTGCTATTTACACAGTAACTCTTACTTATGGTTTGGAGTGCTGTTCTCTCCCACACAGCTCTGCAAGTAATCAGCATAAAGTTACACAATTAGATTAATTTAGAATTTTATAGACTTCTAATGATTTTGCACCTGGCTCACCCAGTAAGAACACACTCTTTAAGACGTTAAAAAGTTCTGCAATAAGGATACCCAAACTTCAGCAAGAAACTGATATCTGAGTCCTTAGAGAAGTATTCTCTCACTAAGTACTGTGGGAAAAAAAGAAACCAATTTAATAATGAATCCCATTTCTAATATTTTTATTTTCTCCAACCCAGTTCTACAGCATGAATGGTTTAGTAGCAGTAGGGGACATTATAAGAGATATGAAAAAAAATGTATTTTTTTTTCCTTAGTCCAGTCTAATCATGAGAAAACAGGCTAACAGAGTGGAATACAGTTTCAACCTCTGTGTGTGGACAACAGGATCACATTTTTTTACTCTTCCACTCCAAACAAGTCTCAATATAATCACTGTATGTGAAGGTTTCATCCTATCCGTCTGCAAAATATAAAATCTAGTATTGTAAAACGGTATGACAGCATTTTACTTTCAAAACACATCAGTATGTTTCCTATAAATTTGCAATTTTAGTACACATTTTCTCCCCTTCCCTCCTCCCTGACAAACTGGCTAACTGTTGGTCCTTTTCTCCCTGTTCTGAACACCTTACAAATGATGCTTACAAGTGATTTCTTTTTTACAAGATTTTACCTATAAGAACAAATAACAGCTGGAAAGTAATAGTGAAATCTCAGCTTTCACTTTGAAATAAATAACAATATAATCACTACTAAAATATAAATACAAAAAAGACTGAATTCACTTGCAAATTCTGTTTTAAGTAGTCCATCATTATAAGCATTTCCATGAATTTAATAACAGCACCAATATCAAATATTCTAAACCTAATGTAATAAATGAAGGGTGATCCTATTACCCAGTTTTTCAAATTGCTTTACATAATGTAATCACTTACTTGCTCTAATTGAATTTCACTTTACATCATTTAATAAATGAATGCTGATCATTTGACATAATTGAATAAGTAGTTCAGCTCATTCTCTGTACTTCTTGGGTGAAAAATTAGGCTGCTTTTTTATAATCTTCCAGGATGATACTGTTAGATTTAAGAGCTAGGTTTCATTTCTTCTCACAGCTTCTTTATTATCCAGTGTAACTCCATGCTGTAGGAAGAAAACTAGCCCAACTCTGCAAGCTGAATTTTTCAAGCAAGTACATAGCATAACAATAAAACCACCCGCTTCACTGTACTAAAGGGGGGGAAAAGAACAACCCAAACTAACAAAAAAAACCCCCAAAACCCCCCAAAATAACCCAAACACCAAACAAACAAGCAAGCAAAAAGGTTTTACCAGACTATAAAAGTCATAATTTCCGTTAGAGAGTAACTAAGTGATTTAACAATATCTATGAGATGTAGGCAGGGACTAAGTCTTCAATCTCTTTCTAGCAGAAGGAAACAGAATTTAATTTTAAACTGAAATTTAATTCTGAAACAGAATTTAATTTTAAACTGAGAATACAATAGATTTGATGAAGAACAACTCATAATTCAGGATCTGAATGATGTTCTACTCAAAGTTAAATTGAGCCATCATTCACAATAAGGAGGAAAAAAAAAAAGACGAACCTCTGCAAAAAAAAAAAGAAGACAGAAGAAAAGACAGAAAAACTGTTGTTAAAGGGCTGTAATGATGAATTTTACCTTTCAGCATTACTTTTGCATTTCTGACTCCTGTCTCCTAAGAAAGATATCACAGTATAATCACCAATTCACACATGAAATATGTGAATTTCAGTGTACTCTGCAGAGGACTAACCACAGACTGTATTTCCAGCTTTGCACTGGACATCAGTTTCTCCCCTTTAAATCCAAAGCAGCTCAATTTCCAGATGACTGTAAATCATCTGTTGCCTCCCTATACATCTGCTCAGTTTTTCAGATTATGAAATAAAATCTGGCAATTTTTTCAGAATGAAGCATACAATGATTTGATTGCCATGGTACCCAAGGATTTGTGCATCTTATAACACAGAAATAAAGTGCACTTGCTTAGAAATAGGACCACTTTTATTTCCAAAGAAGTTACTCCAGTCTAGAAGTAACTATTCAGACTCAAACCACCCAACCCAAAAGGGCAATAAATCTATTGTTTTGTCTTGTAAATCTCAACAAACAACGATTTCTAGCTGTTGTAAGGTCTGTCTCATGTATCCTTGCACTTATCACCAAGTTTAAGATCTGCTCCTAGAGGTACTTCTAGTATTCAGGAGGAAAAAAATCCCAACAAATTACTAAAGTCATTTCATACAGTTAATGGCCAGAGATATCTTTTGTTTCATATATATCGTATCATTTTCTTAGTACAGTAAGAATAGAGGGAGCCATGCATGATCTTGACTTCCAGCAGATTGAAGACTTTAATGACCTTTAAACTGCAACTTTCTAATTAGTGATGAAGAATATGGGCATTGCCCTTTAAGAGGCTCTGGCCCAGAAGCTGTGAAGGAAGCTGTAAAGTATTGTTAAGAATTGTAAGCAAAAAGGTACTACACATCCACTCCACTCTTCCACTTTCCTTTCTTCAACAAACTCTTTCTTCTTGGGCCAGTTGTGGTCATTTCATTTTCACTGCATCTTTGTAATATCATAGCAATAACTTTGCATTACAAAATATTTGTGTGCCAGGGTACAACGAAGTCCCTATTGTGGTGTTTAATGAGAAAATTCATTCATTGCCTCATGCATCCCATGTCAAGCAACCTGAAAGAAATGTTTCCTTCTGTTATGCTACTCAGAATTGCAACAATTTTCCTTTATTTACTTTGAAATGTTCCTTCTTTGTTTCTTCTTTTAAGAATTACTGACACCTAATGAATTAGTTATCTTTTTTTTTATCTAAATCAATATCATAATTGTTTGAGGTGTTTGGGTATTGTGGATTTTTTTCATGAAGCAGCCCTGCAGTATATTTCATGTCTGATTTTCACATAGTTCAGTTCTGGCATGCTAATTATTAACTATGTCCTCTGGTTTACTTTTTTCTTCCCTCGTGAAAATCAGTGTCCAGTGATTTAGGGCCTGAAATTTGTCATGAGGTACCTGAAATTTGGTAGAAAACTTAAAGGAATAATGATTTAGCTGACTATTACTTTAACTGCTAAGGGAGTTGCTCAGTCCAGCCATTTCTTTTTAAAGCCTGGGCATTTTCCTTATTTCCAGTCTGGTAAAGCCCAGTGTGGTGTGCTTGTAGGTTCTGGAGATTGCCTATATGCGCTTACTAAAGGACAAATCTGCTGGAGTTCCCTTTCTCAGGTCAGTAATGAGGCTTAGTGCATTTCCCAAACAGACACACACATAGAACCACGCACTGCATAGTCCAACACAAGTACAGCAGAGACTTTTCCAGCTCCTCTCTAGACACCAATAGCACTGACATAAACAAGCCTATAAGTAGCCCATATGCTAACCTGGTCCCTTTCAACACACACAGACTGGAGTGAGAACAACAAAAAATGTGTAAGAAGAGGACTTAGTAGGAGCAGGGTAGGCATACCTTAAGAAAAAGTAGTGTATCACTGTTGCTATTCCAGCAGACGTGAGCCCACAAGAATTTTCTGGCAAAAAATAATTGATTCATTCCTTGCTCTGGCATGAAATAAATGAATAAATACAGACAGACATTCTGCCTTTTTAATTTGGGAATTGTTCCTGTGCAACTCCCACGACTCCTACACCTCCTGCTGCATATCATCTTATTAGTTACTCTGTTCCTGTCAAACCTATCTTCACCATCTAGATTGTACACTCATTCCACTTCAAAAACCAACATATATTTTCATTGAAGAGTAGCTCAGTTCATAAACCAGCACTGAAAGTAGGAAAAGGAAAAAAACCAACTTTATTCAAAGGTTTTTTTACTGAAAAACCAAAGCATTTAGTACAAGTTTGAAGGTGGGAGAATCTGCACATTAATTACTCTCCAAGATTCTACCACAGTTAAATACAGTCCAAAGTTCCAGTCATGACCTCACAAGTAGCAAGATATACCTTTTCTTACTGCTTCCCCCACACTCATATACTCTAGTTTGTGTCTGCACATGCTGAAGACCCATACACAGCAATGAAATTTTTCAGATGCAGGGTGCTTATCAAAAAAGAGCTGTGGAAGGACTACTCTAATATCATAACATTAAAGAAAAAAAAATCCAGCAATTATTCATTAGTTCAATTTGCATGCAATCACATTTTTTTTTGAAACTTTTTCTTCCAAAGGAACCACAAAGCAGTACAAAACCAAGGAAACATGCAGCAGGCTTAGCAAAACTGCCAGTGCCTGCAGTCCTGTGGGAAGGTAGATGAGTCCAGAATTTTAAGGTCATAGAAAGGCTGATGCTTCATGAAGATGCCATTGCTGACACCAGCCAACAGCACCAAGAGGCTTAGAGAAGCACAACACCAAAGCACATACAGCACTACAAAATACAATCGATCTTCTAGCTTCTTTAAACAGCCTTCCTGACATAACAGCTCCAGATGGCCTAGGTCTCCTCTGCAGTAAGAATAATTCTGCTTACAGCAGCTTTCAGGGACATAAGCTGGGAGATGCCAAGAAGCAGCTGTGGTCTTTAGCCAGTCTGTGTAGTTGTGGACCCCACAACACTGCAGCTTCCTCTGCATTGCATCCACAGCCGTGCTTCCAGGATGCTGAGAGCATGTCCCATCATGCTGATACACAAGGCAACCCATAGTGCTTTCCAGCTGAGAAGCCATACTAGTAGAGTAGAACTGTGCTAGAACTACTGAGGACGTTTCTATGCAAAGAAGGAGTAGCAGCAAGTACATGAGAGTCCCTTGCTCATTGCAGGAGCTCTTAACAGAAGTAGAGACAGCCAAAAGTCCAATAGGCAGCAAGATAAGTTCAGCTACAAGAGCCAGCCAACCAAGGATAGACAAGCAAGACTCGTGAAATAAATATTTGTAGTTCCTGAACACCAGGATCACGAAAACTCCACCAAAGACCTGAGCTGCAGCACTGCCCAAGAAGATGAAGTCCAGGAACCTCAGCAGAAATTGAGCAAAGGACTTGAGCGAGGCATCCTTATAACACTACAGAGATGGCAACATCACCACAGCCCTAACCCTCCTCTTTCTGGTCACTCCTAGTAGCCCTAATCCTCACCACCACCATTTAAGAGGTTTCCACCCCAGTTATCCAGGTGCAGCAGATGACACCTCTACCCAAAAACAACTTGCAAAGGAGAAACACTGATGGGACTCCTACAGCACTGCTCCCTGCATCAGCTAACCACATGCTGCTGCTGCAGCTTGTTCAGCATAGACTGCAGAAACTGGAGGGTATGTGCCCAGCTTGCTGTGGAGAGTTCTCTTGAACTGTTGTTATTGGAGACATTTGCATTTGAAGGAGGAGGACAGCTATAAAAATGTTGCACTTCTTTAATGTGTTGAAGAGATAAGTCTGGAGAAATAGTCAGGGTGGTAGCCAGCTATGCAGGTTCAGATTGCTTAAACTGCCCAATCCCACAGCAGTAGCCAAAATGGCAAGAAATGCACAAGACAGAACCACCAACAAAGGAATAGTTTAATCAGAGCTATTCAATCAGGAATCTCCACAGGTGACACTCGCCTAAGCCCATTATCCTTCCCAGTTCATTTATCATACGTTGGATTTTATAAGGGCCATAATAATGTTAATAATATTGTGCCTTTTTTTTTACTCAGCAAGAGTTCTCTGTAGATGGTTTCAGTTACTCAAGACACTTGGATGAGAAACCCCTACTATTTCCCACTTGTACCCCTCAGTTTGCATTACCAGTATTTTGCTGACTGCTGTAATGACTGAATGCAAGCAACAGTAAGTACTGTATTAACTTTTCTTTGTATGTAAAGGACCTGAATTGCAAACCTGCTAAATTACTTCACAACAATCCCAAAGGGAACTAACACCACTTATAAGCATTATCAGAAGAACTTTATTACTCCAATTTGTGATACAGATGAGCCAAGCAGGATGGGAAATCTGCATAAGTCTTGCTACAGGTGCCAGGAAGGCAGGTCCCAAGGCCAACAGTGATTTCTTAATCATCTTGATCAAGTCCCCTAACATCTCCTCTGTTTCTCAAGATACAGAGCAGGACTAATAGAACAGGCATACATAAGTGAGAATACAGAGAGATGATCCCCATTTCCAGAAACATGAGCACCTGCAAACCCAGCAGAAAATCAGAATAAGTTGGTGCTTAGATCCCTGGAACACTGGAAAAGTCTCAGCAAAACTGATGATTCCTCATCTGTCAGACATTTTACAAGGACCTTTTGCTGTTATATAGACTATGCGCACAAAGATATTGGGTGGATTCCCATCAAAATCTCTTTCTATGTGCTGTGCAAACAAGTAATTATTTTGGAGTGAGATAAATTGCTTTTATCATTTTTAATCTTTCCAATAACAGCAATTAACGTGGGGTGATTAACTTGTTAAATCTTAACCAAATGCTTCTTTCAAAGCTGCTCTAGGATATGTGTTTTCCTGTAACTGTTCTCTGAAGACTGTGTCTGCCCTCTTTCAGCCTGCTGCTACACCCAGCCCTCCTGCTGTGTTGGATTTGCGGCCATTCACTTACTTTCTTGAATGCTTTTTTTCCCCTCTGATTTCTGTCTTCTGCATCAAAGACAGGAAGAAGGGGAGGAACAGAATTTCCCCTCACATCTGTGCACACAGGCAAGCCACACTGATTTAATCTTTCCACAATGCAGAATAAGACATATCAGAAAAGTGTGAGGAAACCTATGAGAAACATAATAGAAAATACTGTGAGGAATAGTTTGCAAGCTTTGTGATAAACAAGCACATTAACCTGCCTCTTTTTCTTTCTGTCTTCCTTCACACTTATTGAGCTAAATGAGATATTTGGAAATGAGTTACATTATTTACTTTTAGCTTATTCTACATCTATGCTTGTGGCAGAACAAATGGACCAGAGATTGTGAATGCTTGCCTGTTCCTCATGGGAATCAGAAGTACCAACACTAAATGCTGTCTGGGAGCCAGTTCCTAGCCAGGTAAGAACTCTTAGTACCCACTGCCCACTGCAGAGATACAGCGCACTCAGAACCATGCAAGAGCAAATTGCTGCAAAGGGTCTTAACACTGGCAGGGCTGTCTAAAATCCCTCCTCCGCCTTGTGCTACACAATACATAGGCACTTAGGAAAAGAAAGCTTCTGCTGAAAACATAAGACAAAGGACAAGAAAAACAGAATTGGTCCCTAAAGCACCCAAAAGACCTGTCACCCTCAATAGCACTGCTTTTGTGCTAAATAATTTTACATGTGAGCTGACAAAAGCTTGATAAAAGAAATGAGTCAAGGTATCCATGAAGAGACTGTAATGTGACAAAAAGAGTATAGGTATGACAGAACAGGAATGGTCCTCTGTATCCTTTCCAGTGATAAACAGCATAACATGATAAATGCCATCCCTATTTTCTCTGAAGTTTTTTCTGCTTATGAACTGATGAGTATTGAAATTCAAATGTGGGTGTAACAGACAATACATCATAGATAATTTTCTGGAATGCTGCTGAAAGTATAATCCTTCAAGTTAATAAAATGTCAGTTTCTTTTTTTTTTTATACATTGCTCTAGAAGGCTCTGACTGACATTGAATAGCTCTGATGTGCCCAAAAGAGGTCAAAGAGGTTCATTCCATGTGGGTCCAGGAATGGGGCAGGAAAGCCGTCAAGTCAATGTTGTGTTTGTGCAAATGCCACATAGGCAGATGACTAAACTCATTTTGAATGGCTCAGGCTGTCCATACAGATTGATCAAGGAGCTCATCTGAGCTACAATGGGCAAAATTGAAATCGAGATGACCAGCTGGCCTGTTCAGAATTGTGTGAACAAGAAGAAACGTAGAGGTGACAATAGCATGAGAATACAGTTAGACAAGCCCATCTTAGAATAACAGAATCATACAATCATACAACCACATAATGGTTGGGCTTGGAAGTGAGCTTATCAATGACCTAGTTCCAACTGCAATGAGCAAGGAACATTCCACTAGACCACACTAGATAATCTTCTAAGTTTCATACATGCCTTATATAAAAAGAGACAAGTGTGGGGTGTGGCCTGGCTGCTTTCAGCAAGGCTCCAGCATGTCTGGGCTAGTCAGGGGATGTGTTGGGACTTGTTGCGCGAGGGCCTTGGGAGGAGTAGGTGTGGAGATGGGACCCTTGAACAGAAAGCTCCTGCGTGCTGGCTCACCAGTCCCGAGATGGGAAGTTGCTGGGATGTTGCTGGGGGAAAAGACATGTAACAAGTTGTTGTGCCTTAGGTTGACCAACTGGTACACACCTAATGTTTAGAGTACGCCAATCAGCAGGGAATATGCTAAGCAAATGGACTATAAGGATCTGTGAAAAACAACAATAAACGGACATGTTGCTTGCATCAAGCTGCATCCCGTCTCTCCATCGCGGCAGACAAGACCAAAAGCGAGACCCTCAGGCACTGCTCTCATTGTCACAGTGACACAGAAGAACCCTAAAGCTGCTCTGTAAAACAGCTGGCATTTCAGCTGAAACCCATGCACATATGAACCTATGGTAGCTGTACCTTGCAAGTAAAGTTAAAACACCCTGAATGAGGATTGTCTTGAGAGTTTAGAACATTTTTAAAGGTCTTGTTTGATTCAGGCACACTAATAGCATAGCATATGATTTTAAAACCTTACTAAAACACAGAGGTTTTTATCAGCTTCATCTATCTCACTTTTGCATTAAGCTTCCCCACCACTACCCATATTCCTGTCACCTTCACTGAATGGAAATTGGAATGTGACCCAGACAGGCTGTCAGATTCAGAAAAAGTGGTAAATGGCTATCATTGGTATCAATCCTGAGTTCACTGATCCTGACCCTCTCTGCTGGCCCTGGCAGTGTATTTTTCCCAAGCCAAAGAGACTTGACAAACTATTTTTCCAGCTTCCAAGAAAAGCCCTGACTGCACATAAAGTGGCAACAAACAAACAGTAATTTTGGGATGAACAAAATTAAATTTTAAAAAACCAGGAAGAAACAAAACCCAAAGTTTGATTCTTCACAATCAGATCATTCAAGCTATGATGGGTACTCAAAATACCACACAGCAGAAGGACTGGATACCGATCGAAAAGCTGTTTTTAAAAACTGAAATCTGCTGAGTGTATTTGCTCTTTGGAATAATAAAACACTGTTTTATGAAACATGTCATATTACATGATCACTTGGACAGCCCAAATGCAAAAGGATGAACAAGCCTGGTTAGATTCAGAGCCTACAGTTGCAGCCATACACAACTGGTTGCCATAGTAACCAAAGTCAGATGGCCTTGCCTTGCATGAGACTAATACCTCCTACGGAAAGGTTGAAGTAAACAGAGGACATATGATTACCACCTTCTATTCATGGAGATAATGTACTGCCCACAAGAACTGATTTACCATTGTGGAGACATTTGAACTCTCAGTCAGATGTTTACCCCCAGCTCCGTTTGCCAGACCGAAGGCAGCCTTTTCTATGATTGAAGAACCACATCAAATGCTTTCCAGACTTTTGTTTAGTTTTGCTTTAATATTCAAGGTTTTCAATGAGTTGAAAACTAAGTGTCAAAAGTTTGGTGTTTTCATATATTTTCCTCTTTCTTCCCTTTTATGAAGTGAACACAAGAAAAAGACTAAAACCTTTTCCTTTTTTCCTTTTTACATTTTGGTTTCCCTTCCTATTTTTATTTGCCAGTCTGGAATTTCTATGAAATATCTTGTGACTGGGTTGAACACAGACTATCAAAGTTAAAAAAAAAGGAGGTGAAAAACACACTGTATTTATATCACTTTGGAATTTCAGAAGTTGGAGAACAGTTTAAAAGTCATAGAATGGTAAAAGAAAAAAACAATCAAAAGGAAAAGAGAACTTCAATTCTTTTGATAGCTTTTATTATATTGCAGTTGGCAATAAAAACAGGTTTAAGAAAAGGTATTTAGTAAAACCTTAAAGGACAGAACACCAAAATTCAAGCCACCTTGACATTTAAAGTATTTTGTGACTT